AAGCTTCAAACCGTGGGCGCCATATTTGAATGTAGCTCGAGAAAACACTAGATTTCCTTAGAGGCTATTGACTACATGATAAAAGCCTAAGCCCACCGCCCCTTATTGTGACCAAGCGTGGTATTTTGGAGATCCCCCTGAGCCCCCATGAGCGGGTCACGTAGTATGGGTACGTTCCCTAACTTGATTCTGTCCAAGCAATTCCACTTGGGCTGGCGTAGAGCGACCCAGGCTCAATATCATTTCAAAAACAACTGTTGTTAGTTTCTCTTCTTTTATTTCCACTTTACTTTAATACCATTTATTTATTAAATTTTTTCTTGAAATCATTTTTTTCAATTAAGCCTTTCTATTCCTAGCTTCAAAATTAATTTAAATAAAATACAATACTAGTTTTAATAATTAATTAATTTACTTAAGAAGTTAAATTTACAACAATAACTAAATGCGTACACATTGTATTAATGTGTGTAGTAAGCCAATGAAAGATACTTACACACTGCAATCTGTGTCCGTGAAAAAATTTGTTTCTATCTGAAGTCTTTTTTATAAATAAATATTAAATAAATAAAATCTAAATTAAATAAAAATCGATTGAATAGAAAGTTACAAGCCTCGTATTATTCTTAAAACTAACTCTGAGAGAAACCTATTATCTAATAATCCTTGTTTTCTTACTCATATGCTTAAAGTTTTCAATTATTTTACCCAAGTTACTGCAGACTATAATTTAAAATCTCTAGCTGGTAAATAAGCTTTTGGTCTGTTGGTTCATTTAAGTAGTTTAAAAAGTCCATCGTTTATTGTAGCGATTGGACTAATAATATAGTATCTGTGTATGTATGTGTGTAAGTAAAGGGTGTTTCATGTTTATATCTTTATAATTGAAGTAGTTTCTGTAAACGCATCTATGTAGGTACATACTTTGATAATTTAACACTTTGATAGTTTGAATGTAATGTCATTGTACCCAAATTCGCGGGTGCTTTTGTTCGATTCAAGTGTAAGCTAAACATATCGCACACAGTCTTCAAAAGAGTCACAACTCAAAATTACACGTTCGTCAGAAAATGCGAAAAACTATTTCTTAGCACATGCTAATCATATGGGCAAGGGAGACTTGACCTTAGGTTTTTTCAATAAATTATAACAAAAACTTACTCCAGCTAATGCTGCAAGGTAAATAAAAGCTCTGTGTACGCTTTTAGTGCATAATTTCAAAAATGCCAGATTTTGAGTTAAGTAACTTTTGAAGATCGTGTGCGATATAATTTTCAAGCATATTCGCCAGATACTAGGATTCTCTGTTGTTTATTGTTTACAGCTCGGCTTGTACAATGACTCGTTCATAGCGCATCTTATCGGGTGTATCCCAACAGCATTTGAGACATGTAAACACCAGCACATTGCCGTATTCGATGGGTACCGGATCGCTATTCTGCTGTAAACGTAATTTCGGTATGAGTGTGGAAAGGATTTGAATTTCACATATGGTCTCGCCATTGCAGTTCGCGCACTTTGGTATTGCTTCGGATAGTGGTCCCATCAATAGGGGTAGTGTATCACGTGAATACCTGTGGGGATGGAAATTTTAAATTTTAAATTTTAGTTCTACCATAAGCATATCAAATACAGTATAAACATAAAGTTAAACTTCCATAGCCCTTTATTAAAAAAAAACTTTTGATATGCATACATATAAGGCCTTGAGAGCCAGAGTAGCCCAACAGGCATAAAAAAAAATAAATAAGAAATTGCGGTATAGCTTGAAATGCATTACTGGAATTGAAATGGTAATTAGTCCGAGGCACGCCCCTTTACGTCTCTTTTACCATAATGGTAGCATCAAGTAGGTGCAATGAAATGTCAGTAAAGGGACGTATTTATTATTTAGAGCTCCTCCTTTCTCCTCAATTTGTTTATATTTATAGATAGGCTCCTCTCTTTTTCGTGGCGCTATATGCGCCTGCCCTATATACATACAGTTTAATAGCTATACTCTCACCTTATTATCTGACCGGGGTTTTGTTGTATAGTACTAACAAATTGATGAAAAATTATATCACCATGCGCCGGCAAAGTTTTCTCGTAAACTTCTTTTTCATCTCCAGCAGCACCTAGCCCCTCTCCGCTTGCTCCACCACATGCGCCAAGCCCGTTTGGCGAATTTGCCGCCTCATCCTGCCGTTTATACTCTTGGTATAAATCACGTATGTGATCCGCCGATAGCGCACCACCATAGTTTTCAAATTCGCTAAGTTTATGCCGCTGCTCTAAATCCACCGCGATGAAGAATGGCTTAATAGTAACATCTGATGTCTTGGCAAGGGGTCCGAGTGCCGCAGGCGTTGCAGTATGCTTCAGGAGTGCAATTAAGTCACGTTCTGGCTTTAGGGGCGTCTCCACGAGTACTACATCTGTCTCAGCTCCTTCAATTTCGGCACAAATGGTAGCAGTGGCACCGCCGAAGCCCATCATTGCGCCACCATCCATAGCAGCTGCGGCAGCCGCATTACCAGCAGCACAGTTGGCGTTGGGATCTTCAACTACCTTTTGCGGTGAATGCATATCGAGTTGTCCAAAGCCATATACTAGTTCGTTATCCATCGAATTGCTTTCGTCATCATCATCTTCATCAACATCACTGTTGCCTAAGTCGACCTGCGGTAAGTGCTCGCCACAAAAGGGTGAGTTATCATTATTTCCAATTACGTTGCCGTTCTCTTCGTTTTGATGATGTAACTCATCAGCGCCTGTATCCATGCGCTCCACACCATTATCGGAGGCTGCAATACTCTCCTCCCCTGCTTCGCCCCAATCATCGGCACCACTGCACCAAGTAATTTTTTGAGGCTGCGTTGCATTTGATGCTAGCTTATTCTTTTTTTTCTTTCCTCCACCGCCACCTGCTGTTAGTGGTGGCGGCACTGCGCTTATTAGTTCTGCTTCACTTGGTGTGTCTAGATGCTGTGTACGTATGCATAGCCAACTCTTGGAGCTTTGAGAACAAGCCGGGTTTAAGCAACCAAAAACATATAAGGTTCGATGAAATTTCGATAACTCCAATGGTGCATATAGCTGCACAATTAGCGGGCGTGCTGTGCCACATAGCGGGCACGAAGGCACTTTTATCTCACCAGAGGGCCAGTCCTGCAAGATACAGATAAAGATATGTTACCAACAAAAAAAAATCAATTTTAATTAATTTTGTAAATGATGCGTCAGCGCAGCGCATCACGTCGCAAAGCCCAGACTCTATGGAGCGGAAACAGCGACGTTGGGCAAACACTTAAGGCAAAAGGTGAATCACTTTGACCTTTATGCTTGGTTTAATACTACACAATCATCTAAACAGTGTCGTACATACCGGTGTTCCACCAACTTTGTTCACCGTACTGTTTAATATGGATCCGTGTTTGCCAGTGACTTCCTCATCCTCAAAACCAAGGTAGACAGTACTTTTATTTTTTGCCATTTTTCACTTATTTACTTAGACAATTAACTTATCTTCACTTAAAACTAATAGGCCCGATTTGTAAATGATATTCCATCAAGTCTTACGATTTTAGCAAATAAAGTATATTTTAGAATTCTGATATTGAATAATGCACTCGATCTAAGTTTTTGCTGCAAACATAAGCGAAGAAAAAACACGAGTGGATAAATCGACAATGTGATCCTAAAAGTATGCCAGCTTTTAGTAGTATATTCAATATGTAAGCGCGTAAATAAGCCGGTGTTCATTGAGCAATTCAATTAGCATTGGGTACTCGGGTTTTCCTTATACGATGTTACATGGGGCGATTTTACAGGCAACTATTAGTTGAAAGCAACAATCGCCTGGTGTGAACGGCATTTCAACTAAGCGCTCGCAATGAAGTTGGTGACAGCCAAATTTTGATTCAATTAATCGCCCCTAAAAACTTTAAAAAGTTAATATTTGCATTAAAATTGCATAAAAATTAGTATTTTTTGCATAAAATCTGTGGAAATTATTAAAAAGTGGATAACTGCATTAAAATTCAATAAATATGAGCGTTAATAAATAAATATATAAATAAATTGAGAGATTCACAACGGTGGCGGAAGTGTCGTATTGTTGTATGTCGTAAACTTTAAAAGCCTAAACAAATGTTTAGAGAACTTTAAGCCACAACCAACTATTTTTCAACACTGCGAAAATGCATAATATGACTTTGATGGATTTGCGAACCCCCTTAATATATTTTTAGGCGTTTAAAATTACGACATAGAACAATACGACACTTACGACACCGTAGTGAATACCCCAAATATAATATGACGAAATTGTATGCACAAAACACATTTCAGGAAAAGAAGAGAAGAGATATTAATGAAAAATGATGTCTAGAATTGTTGCAGGGCAGTCTATATTTAAAAAATTCCAGGTTTTTATAAATATTTCGCGAAAAAATCAACCAGAAAAACAGAAAATACCTGCTCCAAGTGAATTTTTAGACGCCAAATGAATTGAAATATCACAACCGAGTGTGCGAAAGTGTAGTTAGTCATGTAATCGTTGCATCATGATTGTGACGATGAAGCAACTATAATTGGACGACCAATGTGCAGAAAGCCTTACTGTTACGTGAAGCAAAACTGGAATCGAGTTGACGATATCGCACAAACGATCAAACAATTTTTGATTTTTATGAAGCAAGACAATCTCGACTCGATATCGTTCAGACGATTGTCGTCATACGTGATTCATGCCCAGTTTTAATGTGCAGTACTTCGGTATTATGTTATGAAAAAAGCATCCCTAGTTTCAAAAAAATTTGGTACTTTTAGTGTGGTAAAACGCTTTTTTTCCAAGTCTTTGGTGCTTTTTGAAAATCAAAAGATGGCAAGACTGAGTTCGACACACTTTTCGAAATTACTTGCTATCCAACATATAATTGGATTTATACATACATACAAAAACTTGGAGCTTTTTTTCGCAGTGTAATAGCCTTGCAATGAACACAACCATTGTCAGTTTGAATTTTCTGATTTGACGCATACGTATTGTGGGTGTGTGTCATGGTGTCAAAAATTTATCAATTCTTCGCTTTCACGTCAAATGGCAGTCGCGTAAATAAATAACAATTTTCGACAATTTAATGTGAGTAAAAATTGGGGAGAACACATGCATGAAATGCAATAAGCAGATTAGTTCCCATAAAACGAAAACGTTTGTATGTACGAAGTTATAAGCTTGTCCCCAAACAAGAAGTGCAAGTACTAGCTGCAGCAACGTAAACACTTGTCTTATAGGCCGACGCGAGACCCGCCCAGTTTCCAATCGATGATTTTTGCGCTGTTAGAGTTGTTGCACTCAATGCGCTTAGCATCATTGCTTGCATCATTGCTCTAATATGGTTTGTTATCTCTCCTCGTTTCAGTGTAAGTTACTTTGCAAAATGACAGAAAAGATCACATTGGCCGATGCGTTATCCAATGTGGAAGTGCTAGACGAGCTGTCATTACCCGATGAGCAGCCTTGCATTGAAGCGCAACCATGTTCAATTATATACAAGGCAAACTTTGATACAAACTTTGAGGATCGTAATGGATTTGTAACGGGCATAGCAAAATATATAGAAGAAGCGACAACACATGCTAATCTGGTAAGGAAGTTATCAGTTACATACGTCTGTATGTACGTATGTATGTATGTACATTTGATGATAAATTATTTTTATAATTTTATCTTACGCAGAATGTTTTGCTTGATGAGGGACAAAAACATGCTGTTATGCTTTACACTTGGCGCTGCTGTTCGCGCGCAATACCTCAACCAAAATCCAATGAGCAACCCAATCGAGTAGAAATTTATGAAAAGACCGTGGAAGTTTTAGCACCAGAAGTCAACAAATTACTTAATTTTATGTATTTCCAAGTATGTATATTTGCCAAATATTGATGGAAGGTGTATTTCAAACAAAAATTTTCAATCGAATTCTTTTACAGCGAAAGGCTATTGAAGCGTTTTCTGGTGAAGTGAAGCGCCTGTGTCATGCAGAGAAACGCAAGGACTTCGTATCGGAAGCATATTTGTTAACCTTAGGAAAATTCATAAACATGTTTGCTGTGTTGGATGAATTGAAGAACATGAAATCGAGTGTAAAGAATGATTACAGCACATATCGCCGCGCTGCCCAATTCCTGAAAGTCATGTCAGACTCACACACATTGCAGGAATCACAAAATTTATCCATGTTTCTTGCAACACAGAACAAAATACGTGATACAGTGAAAGATACGCTCGAGAAAATCGTTGGCTACGAAGATTTGCTTTCAGATGTTGTAAACATTTGTGTGCACATGTTTGAAACGAAAATGTATTTGACGCCTGAGGAAAAGCATATGCTGGTTAAAGTAATGGGGTTTGGACTTTTCCTTATGGACAGTGATGCCTGTAACATAAATAAATTAGATCAAAAGAAAAAAATACGCTTGGATCGTATAGATCGAATTTTCAAAAATTTGGAAGTGGTGCCGTTATTTGGTGATATGCAAATTGCACCTTTTAACTACATTAAACGAAGCAAGCATTTGGATACTAGCAAGTGGCCTTTGTCTAGCTCGAATGCAATTAGCCCCCAAGCAGATTTAATGGTACATTTGCCACAAATTCGCGAAGATCACGTTAAGTACATATCAGAGTTAGCACGCTACACCAACGAAGTGACCACAACAGTAAAAGAAAATCCGACAGATGCTGAAAATCGTGCTACCTCTGACTTGGCGCTGCGTGGCCTACAATTGCTGTCGGAGTGGACTAGCGTTGTTACCGAATTGTACTCGTGGAAGCTGCTGCATCCCACTGACCATCACCAAAACAAAGAATGTCCCGTTGAGGCGGAGGAATATGAGCGAGCTACACGTTATAATTACACATCTGAAGAAAAATTTGCGCTCATAGAAGTAATTGCAATGATTAAGGGATTACAGGTAGAGTTTGATTTGTAAAATTTCTTTGAACAGTCGCACATAAATTTCTCCTCAGGTATTAATGGCGCGCATCGAAACCGTACTGTGCGAAGCAATACGCCGCAATATATACGCCGAGCTACAAGATTTCGTGCAATTGACGTTGCGTGAACCTATGCGCAAGGCGGTAAAAAACAAGAAGGATTTAATCCGCAGTATTATAATGTCAGTACGAGAGACTGCTGCTGATTGGCAGAAAGGTCATGAGCCGCTAGATGATCCAGCTGCAAAGGGTAAGAAGGATCCTGATCCAGGTTTTCGTATTCAAGTACCACGCTTGAATGTCGGACCTTCCTCCACGCAACTTTACATGGTTCGTACTATGCTGGAGTCATTGATTGCTGATAAAAGTGGTGGCAAACGTACGTTGCGCAAGGACATCGACGGCAATTGTCTTATGCAAATTGACACTTTTCACAAAACCTCGTTCTACTGGAGCTATCTGCTGAACTTCAGTGACACACTTCAAAAGTGCTGCGATCTTTCGCAATTATGGTATCGTGAGTTTTATTTGGAAATGACAATGGGACGCAAGGTGAACAAATGTATGGTGAAACATCAGCACAATGAGGAGTGCAAAGACTTGATTACCATGGAGAAGCGTATACAGTTTCCCATTGAGATGTCTATGCCGTGGATATTGACTGATCACATATTGCAAACGAAGGAGCCTTCAATGATGGAGTGAGTTGATAAGAAATAAAAGTGCACACACAAACATTTTTGTTGCATCCTTTTTTGCAGATTTGTTTTATATCCATTGGACTTGTACAATGACTCAGCACACTATGCCCTAACTGTGTTTCGTAAACAATTCCTTTATGATGAAGTAGAGGCAGAAGTCAATTTGTGTTTTGATCAATTTGTCTATAAGTTAAGCGAACAAATATTTGCGCATTACAAACAGTTGGCAGGCAGGTAGGTCGCCTAGGAAATTAATTTGAAAATTGCGGCGATTAATTATTTTTGTTATAGTATTTTTCTTGATAAACGTTTTCGTCTGGAGTGCGAAGTTTTAGGCTTCAATTTCCACTCGTATCCACGCAATAATCGCTATGAAACGCTGCTGAAGCAAAGGCATGTGCAATTACTTGGTAAGTTTTCAAAAATTATATACGTATTTTTTAATATAAATAAGCAAACTTAAATATATTCCCAAAGGTCGTTCTATTGACTTAAATAAACTCATAAATCAGCGTATCAATGCGAATATGCACAAAAGTGTTGAATTGGCAATCTGTCGCTTTGAAGGAAATGATATAACTGCCATTGTGGTGAGTAACATTTGATTAACTACTAAGAAAAATTCTAAATAACACATTTATCATTAATGTGTCTCTAAACAGGAACTCGAAGGTCTCTTAGAAGCCAATCGCATCTGTCACAAATTACTTAGCAAACACTTGGCACTGGATAATTTTGATGCCATGGTTAAAGAAGCAAATCACAACGTATTGGCGCCTTATGGCCGCATAACCTTGCATGTGTTTGTTGAGCTGAATTATGACTTTTTGGTTAACTATTGCTACAATGCAGCAACGAATCGGTAGCAAATTTTAAAATTAATTTAAATCAATATGTCCTGATTTTTATTATGACATTTTTATTTTACTCAGATTTGTCCGAAGTAAGGTGAATTTGGCCTCATCGCAGCCCATACAACGTGAAAAGCCACCACAGATGGCACATTTCTACTTGTGGGGCTCAAAACAGTTGAATGCCGCATACTCTACACAATATGGCCAGTATACTGGTTTCATTGGAGCGCCACATTTCCATGCAATGTGTCGTCTGCTCGGCTATCAGGGCATAGCGGTGGTCATGGACATTATTTTGAAGGATATTGTTAAACCACTTATACAAGGCACCTTGTTACAGTTTACAAAAACCTTAATGGGTGCAATGCCGAAATCTTGCAAATTGCCGCGTTGCGAATATGGCTCGCCAGGCGTCTTGAGCTACTACCAAGCGCATCTCACTGATATTGTGCAGTATCCGGATACAAAAACCGATCTGTTTCAGTCGTTCCGTGAGTTAGGAAATTGTATTATTTTCTGCTTGCTTATAGAGCAGGCGTTATCACAGGAAGAAGTATGTGATTTGCTACATGCGGCGCTGTTCCAAAATATATTCCCGCGACCATTTTGCAAAGGTACTTACATAGCTATGTAAACGTTTTATGTTATTTTTGTTTTTGTTTTTTTTTTAGAAAATGAAAAGCCCGAAGCAAAGCAGAAGCGCTTGGAGGCACAATTTGCAAATTTGCAGATCGTATCGAATGTAGAAAAAATTGGCAATGCGAAAGTAAGCATGCATTCATACAAACACGTTGTTCTAAATTTGCATAGTTTATTCGATTGCTTTTTTCGTTATAGCAAGCAATGATTGCCCGCGAGGGTGATTTACTCACACGCGAACGTCTCTGCTGTGGTTTGAGCATTTTCGAGGTGATACTAAATCGTATTAAAAGCTATTTGGATGATCCAGTGTGGAGTGGACCACCACCAGCGAATGGCATCATACACGTAGACGAATGCTCGGAGTTCCATCGTTTGTGGTCAGCGTTGCAATTTGTCTACTGCATACCAGTACGCGGTACGGAATACACAATTGAAGAGCTCTTCGGCGAGGGTTTAAATTGGGCTGGTTGCGCAATGATTGTGCTGCTGGGACAGCAGCGACGTTTTGAGGCTTTGGATTTTTGCTATCATATTTTGCGTGTGCAACGCGTTGATGGCAAAGATGAGGATGTGAAGGGAATTGTAAGTAGAGAAGAGTATAAACAATGTAAATCCAAAATTTTTTCATACATATGTACAAATATTTGTTTAACAATTTACAGAAACTGAAACGCATGGTTGACCGCATACGCCGTTTTCAAGTATTAAACTCACAAATATTTGCTATACTCAATAAATATCTCAAAGGTGGAGATGGTGAGGGTTCCAATGTGGAGCACGTGCGCTGCTTTCCGCCACCACAGCATCCCACAATGATTTCGTCACACTACCAAGATCCGAATAAATTGCGTCAGAGTATGACAAATAATTAAACGAATGCACTCTAGATATATAATGTCTCTTCTATCTATTATTAACATTATTATAAACTATTGTAATGGTATTCTAGCTACACTTATAAGTACATTTATTGAATTTATAATATGTATGTATGTATTATTTAAGCAGTAGAATTCGTTGCTTCGTAACTAAAGTTCAATTCAATATGAAATATGTAATCAAAATTTTAGAAACGCATACAATGAACAATTTTTCCAATATTCAACTCCATAAAACATATGTGTTAAGCAAAAATATTTATTATACATATGTACTTCGCAAAAGTATTTATTTATTCAAATTATAAGCTGTAGCATTGAAGCGTTTGAAATTCAAATCTAATAAATATGTATTTATGTTTGATTGATTAAAAGAATATGTAGGCCAAAGACTATATACAAAAACCAACAAGGCATGAAATTGTATTTGGCTTTAAATAGCAGACAATGCTTACAATAATTACAACAATATCCGAATATTTACATATATTAAGTAGAACCCTTAAGGCGCAAGAAAAACAAGTTCAAAAAATTTGTATTCAGTAATTTCGCTTGTATGGAATTGTTTAAGCTGCATTTTCGCAGATCAGAATTGAAAATGAAAAACTATGCTCGCGCTAACAATCGCATTTACGAAAGTTTAATATATGTTTCAGAAGACAAACCAATATTCCATATATTTAAAAATGCTGATAAATAAACGTTTTACACATTTTCTAACAAAGCGAATGTGTTTTAAATTTCCAAAGGGGGGAAGGGAATGAGAAATGTAAATATTAAGTTACCTGGTTAAAAATTATTATTTTCCATTGTATTTTTTTTTTTTTTTTGTAAACTGAATAAAACTAAATGGCCCGATAACCAGGCAGGGGTGAACACCAACAATGAACGTTCCCAACACGGCAATTTCTACGTAACGGATTGACTAGGGTTTTACCCAACCACGGTCTGTTGATTCGACGATCCAACCTTCCAGGATTATGGGTAGCAGCTCCCTCGACATAACAATAGCTAGGTCCAGTAAAAAGCATAACTATGTTGCCGCTACCGTCTGATCCCCTACCCATAGACATCTCTATCGATAAAACTGCCGCTGTACATCAATTTTAGCAAAGTTGACTGGTACGGCTTCGCGAAAGTTATTATTATTATTATGAGACATGAGCACTGCGACCTCCCTCCGTGGCCCTTTACCCTGTTCTCGGAAGTTACCCAGAGCATTTTCGCCGCTCCCACCGCACCAACAGACGTTCATATTGGCGAACGCATATCGGAACCCCGCCTCAATTTCCCAGCTCGCGCTTGATGCCTCGGGTCCCCGTATCATTTGGTGATTCGGGAAGAAAAGGAGAAAGGGGACGAACAACTGAAGACTTGCAAACTGCTTCGAGGTGACCAAGCTATTGTCGGCCATAAGGTCTGTGTTCAACCCGAGCAAAACCATCAGGCCTCGTCGGACCCGAAGGGATATGCGAGCTATTTTAGCCGACAATTCACACGCTGCATTCTTCGGTACACAGAGCCAGCGCAAACTTCAGGACAAAATGCGTCTCTTGTTTTTACCGGCGGCGAAGTTCAGGTGGCCATCGGGAAGGCAAAAGTCTCAAAAGCCATTGACTACGATGAAGTATACATGCTGTTGCTGAAAGAACGGGTCCAGCGGAAGTATGTAGACTACAAAACCAAGGTCCTCAAACTGCCTATGGCTACTCTCCTCTCGTCTCGTCTCAAGGTCCCGCTTCTTAGGCCGGGGAAGTCTGCCCACAATGGGGAGTCTAATAGCCTGATAACACCCCTCTCCACCGGATCAAAGACACCAGAGACCTTGTTACTCCCGCAGTTCTCGTACAACTTGACTCCAGCTAAGCATCAGCATGACTTCTGTTTGCCACTGTTTGTCATTTAACGCTACATTGAGTGGTCAGTGGAACATTCGTCCAGTCATCCTCAGGTATCAAGCTTCAAAACCCCAAAAAATTAAGCAGGGGACTCAAAGGTTGGGGTACTCGTCCCGCTTATCTTTAATTTGTAGCTCCTAGCTTCCTTAACCACCAGAGGGCGTTTCGACCATCTTTTATGCTTACGATTGTTCAATATTGGTGTCCGGTAACGGAATTATTGACCTGTGTTCAAAAGTAAATGTTTATGTCTCCGCACTTTCTCTCTTCTTTAGTGAAACAAGCCTACAGACTGCTCAGCAACCACTTTCGCCACCTGGATGAAAGAGGTGAGGTTACACTTAGGCACTCACGTTAACGGCGTACTAATTCCGACATTGAACAATCCGAAAATCCTCGGGATAACCTTCTATAGTTGCTCTCTTTCTCAGAGCAATCAACGCAATTTTCAATAAAATGCAGAAGCGCAAAAGGTCCTCAAGTCCCGCAGAACTATTTCCGCACAAGCACTGATGCCGTAAGCCTCCGATTGAAATATACAAGGGTAGTTGCCCAGGGGAATGGACATCTTAGCCCCAGGGACCGAAAATTCCTGCCCCTATCCCTTCATCAGTTTTTGTGCCGTCTATGATTGTAAATTGTTTGAATAGCTATGGGACGTGGGAAACATTACAGCGCCGAAAAACGTGAAATTATAAAAAAACTAATTTCTCAAGGCAAAACTTATGCGGAAATGGGCCGTACAGTTGGCTGTTCCAACAAAATGATCCGAATGTCACCCTTACTGGTCAGACGGCTTATTCGGCAAAGCCAAAAAGACCCTTTTAAGCCAGCAACTGTACTTAGAAAGGAGCTTAATATCATGGCATGTGTAGAGACAGTTCGCTCCCGGCTTAGAGAGAATGGTTTAAAGTCGTGCACTCTCAGAAAGGTTCCTTTATTAATGAGTAAGCATTTGAAACAGCGTCTGAAGTTTACAGAAGATCATTTGGACTGGCCAGTAGGGAAATGGAGGAACATTCTTTGGACGGATGAAAGCAAAATTGTGCTCTATGGTGGCAAAGGTGGTCGAGACTACATTAGGAGGCCCCAGAGAACTGAATTTGATCCCAAGTTCACTACAAAAACACTTAAACACGGAGGTACTAGTATAATGGTGTGGGCTTGTTTTTCCTACAATGGTGTAGGCCCTATATATTGGATCAAAGAAATCATGGATCAATATGTATACGTAAGAATATTAGAGTAAGTGATGTACCCTTACGCCGAAGAGGAAATGCCGTTAAGGTGGGTCTTTCAGCAGGTGGGTCTTTCCGCAGTCGCCTGATCTCAATCCAATTGAGAACCTCTGGACTGAGGTCAAGAAGGCAGTTCATGATGCCAGACCAACCAGTGGAGCAAGATTCCAAAAAAGAAATATCAGGACCTTGTTGACTCCATGCCAAGACGTTGTGCGGCCGTTATTAAAAATAAAGGACATGCTACTAAGTATTAATCTGGAGCCTAATATTTATGTACATACACTTCTAAATGAAAAATTAAGGGTTTATATTTTATTTTAGTTTTTAAGGGCATAACTAATTCTCAGTGCTATTTTTTTTTACCGCCATATTTTGAATACTTCCATATAAATACTTAAAAAAATTTGGCGATGCATTAAATTAAGTTTATTTTTTTTCATTTAGAGTGTGGAATAAAATCATAAGTTTGTTAGAGAAATAAAAAGATACTAGAAGTAAAATTATTTGGAGTTTTCCTTTGATAGACCTCATAGTACCTCACAGTGCTATTATTTTTACCGGCACTGTATATACATTAGGGTGGTCCTTAAAAAATCAAATTAATGATTTTTTTTTCAGTCTAACCCCTTCAATCGGTAATACCACGGTGACAGATATCACATATAAATTTTGGTCTCGATTGGAGACAGTTAAGGCGTGTCGCAAAGGGAGGAAAGTACAGATGCCTTTATATGTAGACTCAAAAAATTAAAATTAATTTTTTTTTTCATCTAATACCCAAAACACCCCTCTCCAATCCGGGCCAAAATTTATATGTGATATCTTCGGCTATAGTAGCATCGTCGTAGGGGATGAGGCTTAGGAAATCTGATGTAAAAATTTGCTTCCTACATTTAAGGACCAACCTAATATACATACATACATATGTATGAATTAATGAACATATATAAGAATGTATTTTTACATACTTGGTTTCTAAATAAAATACATAGTACCGGGATAAGAGTTCTAGTTAATCACTCAAGTGCACTTCCACGCCCACAGCGGGACACGTATTTAGATATGAATGCACTTGTGCTAAGTGGTTGAATTCTTGTTGCAGTAATCACATTCTTTCTTATCGTTATTGTTGGAGGCATGGCGTAGTAACCTTAATTTATAAAATTCACTGTTAAACGTTGCGCAGCAGCATAAAAAGCAAACAATTCTATTTATTTTTTTTTATTAAAAATGGCATTTGTATTTATTTATAACTAAGGCTATGCTTTCAATTTTCTCACTACACGATGTCATATGTAATGCTATATGCTATATAGTATATAGTATATATCGTAAGTATAGTATGTAAAGGGCGTAACTCATAACGCCGCTGAAATACAAAATACCGTAACTAACTAAAAATCCAAAATTCTCTTTCGGATCGATTATGATGCATTTCATCAAACTAAAAGTTCCCACATCGTTTTATGCAACAAAACAATTTAGTTAGTTGTAGCTTTTTTGCATTTCAGCGACGATGTGAGATACGCCCTTTCCCTACCATACCTATGCTGTATGCTTTTGTTTAAATTAATCTATGGAATTCAGAGCTACTAATCAGGACGTACATATGTATATATTTTAAGCTATGGAAGTGATACTAATTTTATTTTAATTATTTATGTACCTATAATGTGTTCACGTAGTTTTTCGAGACTCAGAGCTTTTATCTAAGCTTGCACTGCAATGCTTTCCACCGATGGAATACTTTGACAACCATTGCTGCTGCTGCTGCTGCCAAGCCCATTCGTTGTCTTTTCCTTCGTACGATAGTGATACATGACGTCAAAGTTGTCCAGATAGTTGCGCGGCAATTGGTGGTCGATGGCGTCAGCGGCCAAATAGCAGGCACCATATGCCATACTCTTTGTTATGGTGACCAATTTCAAATCGAATGGTATGTCATGTTTATGCATTTCATGCTCGAAGCCCTCCTTCAGCAAATGCCAACTATGCCAAACGGAGCCCACACAAACCACGCTGAGATCGCCGGTTTTGACCAATTCCGTTTGTACTTTGGGCGTTAGCGCTGCTATGCTACGCGCAATACAACGGCCAGCTTCGTTAAATAATGACATAGAGAGCGCATCGTCTTGATCGGCAGCATGGGCAATCTTCTTGCAGAGGCTCGCATAAAATGGCTTATCGAATTTGGCATAGCAATGTGGCAGTAAATCGAAACGTGTGTCGACGTTAAAGTGCAACTTGATCAGTTCCCAGACACGATCGATGGGATAACGGGATTTTTCCAAATTGTCAATATCATCGAAGACAATTTTCATTGCCCGGTGGGCAATGTGAAAGGCTGAGGTGGAAGAAAATAGAAATCAGAATTAATCTTAATATGGCTTATTTAGTTTTACGAAGAACTAAGTATGTATGTATGTATGTATATTGAGAAATAAATTTGAATTGTGCTTCCACTAAGCATAGCTCCACAAGTCGATTATAGTAGTGAAAAAACAACCGCAGATACCGCGGTTAAAGGGATTCTTATGTTCAGACATTGCTTAAAGTCGAATACTTACTATAAGATAGGTGGGTTGGTTCCAAGGCATTATAAATGTTTGAATTTGACTATGAGAGATCTTCAGATCAGTTGGTCGCCTGGGAGAGTTTTATTTCATTCTTAGCGCTAGCTTATTCAAAAGCACCACCGGCAGTAACCACACCTCTATAACAAAAAAAAAAAAAAAAACAGAAACAAACCCTAGACATAACCCCAGTTAATACGAAGAGGAAAATGTGATCAGCATGGTGTATTTCTTTTCTAACCACCGCTATATCCAAATCGGCTTAGATGAGACGTAGTCTGTGGCCTTCCATATAGGAATAAAAAAAAACAGATTAGCAAAGGTATACGGATACATGTACATTAGACTGCATCACCAAAAAAAGTTGCAGTTTTTCCGCCGGGATTGCCAAATTTGTTATATTTTAAGAAGTCCACCAAAATATTTCGGAAAAATATTAAGATTTTAGTGAGCTGGACCGATTTGAAAACACCTCCAAAAATAGAGTTTTTTATGAATAAAAATAGTTTTTTAAAGAACTTTTTGAAAAAAGTCCCCTCAGATGACAAAACAGATTAAGCTTAAAAAATCTGCATAAAAATATTAAAAAATCTTTTCAACGGAATCGTAAGAACGAGATTTTTGATGCTGTTTTTTTACTTTTTTTAAAGATTGATTTACGAAAACCTTGAATAACTGGGCCAAAACTATTCTGATTTAGACTTAAGGTATCTCAGTGGAAAGGTATTTTCACACTGTTTTTATTTCTGTCCAAAAAAAGTCATTCGTATCCCAATTTTTTATTTTTCAAATACCAACACATCTTAATTCAACTTTGAATAACATTCGTTCATCCTACCTTTCTCTGTCATCCTTTGAATGAGTTTATTAGCAAAGAAATAAAAAGGGTGAGCAAATACCTTTCCAATGACACCTCTTAAGGCTAAATCGGAAGTGTTTAGGTTGTGTTATTAAAGTTTTTCTTATACCAATTTTTGAAAAAAGTTAAAAAACAGCATCAAAAATCTCATTATTACGATTCCGTTCAAATTTTTTTTTTTATTTTTTTTTTAATATTTTTATGAAATTTTTTTAAGCTAAAACCGTTTTGTCATTTGAGGGGATTTTTTCAAAAACAATGTTTAAGAAACTATTTTTATTCATATAAAATTCCATTTTTAGAGGTATTTTCAAATCGGTCCAGCTCACTTAAATCTTAATATTTTTCCGAAATATTTTGGTGGACGTCTTAAAATATAATAAATTTTATAATTCCAATGGAAAAATAGCACCGATTTTTTTGTATGGGGAGTGATGCAGTCTAATGTACATACATATGTATTTATGGACGGGAGTTCAAAAAACTCCACAGTAATATCGCCAAACAGCTCATATTCACGATTTACGGGCATGCGATAAAGTTTTGAATAAGATTTGGTCATTAAAAAGCAGATCAACATGAAAAACCACCCTCAGTGGAACCTCGAAAACAAATATGTCCGAGAGATCTACCGAATTTTCTTGGGTTATGCTGCGATTGGACATTTAAAAGTAGAACCTTTGCAAACATAAAAAAACTCGTCAGAAATCAATAGAACATCATGGAAATTCTACAGAATTTGGTACGAAATCAGTATCAGGCCCTGCTCCCCGCCGTAGGGTGCGATACGAGCACTTAAGTCGAGTCCCTAGATCCCCTTCTATGCTTATATTTTCCAGGGTCCACTCATATAGGTTCCAGGCCACTTTTCAAATACCATATATACCGGGGCAACGTGATGGCATTCGAGCTGGTTGAGCGGCCACTTTCGTTCTATTTTCGACTTGCTAGAAACGAATACCGCTCGCTGCAGGGTCATCTCCTAAACGAATACTGGGTGAAGAAAATCTGAGTACTTGTTCTCCTTGCAAACCTCATATGGCCGGAATGGATCATGGCACGTTCACAGGAAATTCTTTGGCTGAACAGAAGAGACTTAGCTACCAGGCCATATTGCTTTCGGCAGACATGCGAGAAGACTAGGGACTTTTCATAACGCCATTTGCGAAAAATTCCAGTAACAAACAAGTAACTGAAACCTTAAAAGGCATGCTGTGTAAATTTCTCGCATTATGGAGAAGACGAAGGAAATTTGGTGATATGACAACTGTTGGGATACGGAAATTTATTGATTTTGCAGACTCTGCAAATTGATTCGCGTTGAAGGCGTGTCATTAAACGGGCCCAAACCAAGGGCCTAAGTGTCACTTCAACCTAACATAACCTAAGATGTACCATATATCAGATGTTGCATCAAGGCATCTCTGACGTTATTTTCTGTAGCTAAAAGACCGGCTTTATAAATATGTACACTAATCGTTGGATCCGGTAAATTTTATGGTACACCCTGAAAACAGACCATAATGAGTATTATCTCTTCATATGGGCATAAAATAACTTTCCCCGTAAATTTTTTACGCATTCGAAAATAGCTTAAAGATTCATAGGAATCTATGCCCTAAACAAAAATCCTCCAACCTATATGCCTATATTCAAACGATGACGCGAAATTGAGGTACAAACGTATATCCCTAAAAAAACTTTGAAAGGAATGAGGAAAAATCGTTCCAAAATACGTCATTTTAATCTGTTAAGTTTTTACCGTGTATAACGTGTATAATCGTTTTTGTTGGTACTCACCACTTCCCTCATCGCCCATGAAATGTCCCCAGCCACCACACGTATATGTGCTACCATCGGGATTACGTAGTAGAGCATTTGAACCTGTGCCGCTAATCACTACCATGCCACCGATTGGTGAAGCGGTGAAAACACTGCCCATTGTGTCGCTACAGACTATGTAACTTTCCGAAATATCGGGGAAAGCGTTGTGCATTTCCTTCTCAAGCTCCCGATTTGTGGCTTCCTGCAAAAGAAATTTTAAAGGTTTTTTCTTATAAAAATTTGAGATGGAATTCAACTAAATAAAACGAAATCAGCGACAATAAATTTTATTCTTCATTTAACTTAATTTATGTTGTTGTACTAAAGATGAAATGAAAGCTGGCATACGTTTCATTTACCTGTTCGCAACCGCTCAGACTTAATCCCAAACTGGTTAGACGCACATCCTGTTCAATGCCAGCTTCTTCCTTGGCACGCTCCACCATATCGGAAATTCGTCGTGCGACTTCCGGTATGCCGACCATCCAATGATTCGTGCCAAGACCACTGGTTAGAGCAACTGCGCTTCCCTGTTCATCGCAAATAACTAGCCGCGAGTGTGTGGCCCCACTGCAAAAGAAAGAATGATCAAAATCAAAATGGCGGACGATTTCCTCAAAAATGTATAGATTGTTATGAAGCTATGGTATCCGGAGATTTTTGTCGTCACTGATTTCAAAGATGCAACAGCTCATTAACTGTTGCGATTGCATCTTCTGAACGCGTTGTTGTGTACTTCTGAGCAACTGAACAGTTGCGTGTTAGACGATCGTAATATTTTTCTGATCATTTGAGACAACATGTTACTGTATCAAGCCGTTCAGAAGACGCATAACGATCAATTGTTTTTTTTAGCAACGGTTGCGCTCAACTGCTGCGCCTTCTGAACCTACCCATTGATATTATATTTTCAAAAATTAAAAATGGCGGATCAAATATGGCGTCCCGAACAATAGGCATTTTTTTACATTGGCAATTTTTTGGATTTTCGAACTGTTGAAGAGAAATTGCTATGATCGTTGCAACTCTAACTAATATAAAAATTTCAAAATGTTTTCAATACAAAAAAATAATTTACATATAAAAAATGTATTATACCCATTTTACAAACAACTATATTATTAACAAAAATCGCAAAATAAATACATACCTCACGCCTCACATCCCATTTTGACAAAACGCGGATTCTCGTGAGTGTGGTAAACATGATTTTTTCCATTCTTGTAACTTGCTTACGACACTTACGATTACTATAATTGGTTAAATTATTTTAAGAATTACGAACTGGTGTCCTCAAACTAAAAACAAAAGCATTAAAAACGCATCAAGCATGTAAACAAAAGTGTTGTCTGCAGCGTTGCCGATTTGGTTAAATTTAAGCAAAATTGATTAATTTTATCCTGCCTGTTAAAGTGTTAAATTTTTCTTCGTTTTGCTAAAATTTTTGAAGACCAGGTCAAAGCAACATCGCAAAAAAAATATAGAAAAAAGGTTTTTTCTTGACAGCGGTCGTCCCTCGGCAGGCAATGGCAACCCTCCGAGTGTATTTCTGCCATGAACAACAGCTCCTCATAAAAATGCAATCGCCGTTCGGAGTCGGCGTAAAACTGTAGGTCCCTCCGCTTTGTGTGACAACATCAAGGCGAACGCCACAAGTCGGAGGAGAAGCTCGGCCAAACACTAACATATGTGTAAGCGCCAATCTATTATTATTATTACAATTATGGTGACCATTCGTTAGCGATTTTGGCAGGACAGTATCGATTTTTAGAAAATTGTCCCGCTGAATATTTTTTAAAACTCAGGACATATAAGTGTACCAATTTTTCATATTTGTAGCTCGTTATCTAACAAAGACCATGTAAGTTAAAATTTCCAACGTTGTACAAAGATTAGTTAAATTCGACAAAGCGTCGCCTGGGTAAAAGATTGTCGTACATATGTTAATTTCGGCAGTTTGTGGGAAATCGCGATTGAAGTTTGGAATGCAATTTCTCAAAAACGCGAAGATAAATTTTCTCCAAAGTCTCTGAAAATGTTACTAGTTCACCAAATTCTTAAATTATTTAATTTTTAATGTTTATTGTTAATAAGTTTTGAGTTTATGAAAGATTTTCTTTAGCGTCATTTGTCCACAATTTGGCACTCACTTTGCATGAAATACGACAAAATGTGATCAAAATTTCTACCAAATTAACGACACTTTTTACTCAATATCTCGGAAACTAAAGAAGATATCCAAAAATGGAGAAAGCCATTTTTAAGATATTGCTTAGTTTAATATGGCTGCATCACCAACTTTTAATAAATTATCGAAAAAGTTGTAGTCAATATCTCGGAAACTAAAAGAGATATCTAAAAACTGATAACACCAATCGAAAGGCCTTATTTAAAAATATATAACTGCATCTAGAACTAGAAATCCTCAAAATTGCGCTTACGACAATCTTTTACCCAGGCGACGAAAGATTCATAAAAATTTTGAGCTTTTTAATTAATTTTTTAGAAAAATTCTGACTATGCAGTTTTGTAGCCCATTCAATTCAAAGTGAAAATTTTTAGTAGTTACCGTTGATTTTTTGTAAATGCTTTTTGTGGAAGGTGTTGCTCATTTTCTCCATACAAAAAAATTGTATAACATATTTTGTGTGGAAGAAAATGCGCCAAAAATCAACGGTAAGTCCAAGGTACTTCAATCTTGCGCTTTTAATTGAAACTGTATACTCAACGCATTCTAATAATCTGATTAAAATATTTAAATTTTTTATCAACATTTGTTAATATTCGTCGAATTTTTATAAATGTTCTACAAAGTTTGAAATTTACTTTTACATGTTTTTTTGGATAGTGATAGTTTTTTGCGATAATTTTTCAAGTTTTTTCTCTGTTTTGTTTTAAATAAAACTGTACGAAAAGATGGTATGCCGTTTTATTCTAACAACAAAATTGTATGTTCGGATGCGATGCTTTGGAAATATAACGAATTTTGTCCACAGAAATCTGGTCACCGTATGTATAATGTAAGAGGCTGGGCACAAAAGCCGATTTTCAATCTGTATAAAAATGTAGATATACCTATACATAGTTATACATACGTACATATATATCGTCGTTTAAAGTACAAAACCGCGTATCATCATTCTGCAAAACCGCATAACTGACATTTGCTGAAATATGGGATTTGCTCACACAAGCTCTTGGCTTTAGCCATTCGCCCTGAAATATACTAGCCAGAAAAGCGATTGCTTTATAAAAAATATAACCATTTTGAAATAATTTATGCATATCACATACGCGGTGTTGCATTTTGTTGATACGCGGTTTTGTGCTTTAAACGACGATAGTATGTATGGCGGTAACTAACAAAAAATACAAAATTAACTTTTTGATAGATTATGATGAGTCCCGTTATTTTTTTTTTATGTAAAAAAGTTCTTAGTTACGGGACGATATACGAACGTATAAATAGTATTTAAAGTGTTTGAATGTGTACATGGGCGTAGACAGGTGGAGGCAGTAAAGTTTTCCCTATATATATAAAAAATAGTACCCTGAAATGCTAGCTTAATGGTTTCCAGTGCCCCCCACCGCTCCCGCTCCCTCCTTGGCTATGCCGATGTACATATGTATATATGCGCGAAGTTTGTCCCGTTAATTGGCAGATAAAATGTTAGAAATGAATTTGTCCTCGAGTGAGAGCACAAATAAAGAGCGTGTCAGACCTAACCATGAACCAAAAATACAAGATCACCTAATCAAAGAAGCAAGAAAAAAGTATATTTCTGAGCGTTTTTGACATCTGTCTAAGAATGAAAACAAACAAAGAAAACGAAAAACTCGCGGTGATTGAGTGCGATTAAATTGGTATTTATTATAAAATATACAAAGTGAAACTTGATGACTATCAGCAAAAAAGTTCATAAAATATGGTTTTCATGATTGAAAGTGTTTTACAATCGCATATCATTACCACGGGTCGATTTTTCAATGCCAACGTTCTGGCCACAAACGTGGCATGCATTTCACGCAAATTTACGCCTTTTGGCAAACCAAACATACGCACAAACTTTTTCCAATCACACAGCACTTCATGTTATATCATAAATATGTAATAAACCAAAATTTATAATTAAAATCGCTGCAGAAAACACATTCAATCGCTAAAAAATCACTATGAAGAGGTAGAAGACGGTGTAAATAAAACCGGAAAACGTCAAAAACGCTACGAAAACTTTTTTCAGAAAATCGATTACAAATACAACGATGGCTGATTAGGTGATCTGTAGTCGTTGGTTCATGAGAAATATCAGAAAGCAGTTGCATGTAAAGTGTCTTTCCAAAGAGGTGTTTCGTTTCCGAAAGGCGAGTCGCAGCGAAATTTTCTAAAATTTACATAGCGAATGAAAATCTGGCAATCTTTCTCGATACAAAAATGCAACCGTTACTCGCTTTGTCGGTTGGGCGTTATTCCTTTTCGCTATAATAAGCATTATTTTCTGTTTGAAAAATAATTAACTAAGAACATTGCTGATATTTTATTTAAATTATCCGTTATTATTTTTCACAAACTCGTGATCTGTCACACGGCAACACGCGATTAGTTTGGCAGCACTTGCAACGGAAATAAAAATTTCTTGTGCAGCGCGAGAAAGTTGAAATATACATATTTCCGAAAGCGAAACTGATTTCCGAAAAGTGACAGAAATATTGCCACATCTGACGCGCACTAACAGCACGAATTTTTCATGGATATATGTACATATGTATGTAATGGTCGTATATTAATTGAATGAATTTTGTATCAATCAACATTAATTCTAATGTATATGTATGTACATACATATGTATATGTATCAAGATGTGGCTTAAGTGGTTCAGAAGAGGTTAACGCGTACAGTTTCCCTCATTAATGTATTGTAATGTACATACATATTTAAAATACATATATGTACCTACATACATGTATATATGTATATTTATATTTCCATGGAGGTATGTACATATGTATGTATGTATATTAGACTGCTTCACCAAAAAAGTTGCGGTTTTTCCACCGGGATTACAAAGTTTATTACCTATATTTGAAAACTTTTCCCAAAATATTTCGGAAAAACATTAAGATTTACGTGTGCTGGACCGATTTGAAAATACCTCCAAAACTAAAAAAATTTTGTTTTTTATGAATAAAAATAGTTTCTAAAGGAATTTTGTTGAAAAAAATCTACATAAAAATATTAAAATATTTGTTCAACAGAATCATAATAATTAGATTTTTAATTCTGTTTTTTTTACATTTTTTCAAACATTGGTTCAAAAAAAACTTGAATAACTCAGCCAAAACTTTACCGATTTAAACTTATTACCCTTTTTATTTCTTTGCAAAAACAACTCATTCACGTCCCAATTTTTTCTTAATCAAGTATCAACATTGTATCTTAATTCAACATGGAATGACGCTCGTTTATTTTACCTTCCTTTTTTATACTTTGAACGAGCTAATTAGCAAAGAAGCAGAAATGGTGAGAATAAAGCTTTCCTACGATACCTCATCAGTCTAAATTGGTAAAGTTTTTGGTGAGTTATTCATGTTTTTCTTGAAGTAATCTTTGAAAGAAGCTCAAAAACAGCATTGAAATTCTCATTATTACGATGTTTAAATATTTTTACGCACATTTTTTAATTTTTGGATTTTTTTTTTTTCAAAAAATACTCAAAACACTCTTTTTATTCATAAAAAACTCCATTTATGGAGGTATTTTCAAATCGGTTCAGCTCACGTAAATCCTAATATTTTTCCGAAATATTTTGTTGCAAGTCTTCAAATATAATAGATTTTATTATTCCAATGGAAAGACAGTACCGCTTTTTATTTATTAATTTTTTTTTGTATGGGGAGTGATGCAGTCTAATGTACATACATATAGGAATATGTTCAAGCATATGTTAATATCCTTCATTAGTTGCCAGTTTATAAAAGAACACATAAAGGAAGTGCTAAAATTATAAGTACTTACATCGGATGTCACATTTAGAGGTTGTGAAATTTGTTTCATTCAACTCTACATATATGTAAAAATAATGCAAACAACGAAGCCTACATTTTTTTGTTATAAATATCTAGTGCATATGCTGTTTAGCTCTATGCACTTGGAAAAAATTCAAAACTAAGCATTTGCAATATTGAAAAAATAAATTTCTAGCAAATCCCTGCTGCTTGTCATAAATCTTGCTTAGTCACTCGCATCTACAACATTTAAGTGCATTAAATGCAATCAAAAACAATCAGTTCAAACAGTTCAAAGCCGACATAATGCATTTGTGATAAGTGCTATTAACTACAATTGTCATTATAAACATATGCTAAATTTGCATTGTACTAGTTTTTAATATACGTAGACGTAGAAGCATCAAATTAAAATAAAATACTACGCGTAATGTGCGGCGTTTGATTGCACATTTCATCGCGGATCCTTTTTAAAATTTACAGAAAAAAGTTAAGAAACATACCAACTGCGAATGCTTCATCAAAAGTGCGGCTTTAAAAACATTAAATCGTGGTTTCATATGTTGAAAATAACTAAAATGAACATAAAGAAGTTAGAAATCTATATTAAGTTGAATTCGATACCAACTGCTTTCAATTTTTCTAATATTTTCCATATTTTGCACGCATTCCATTGCCCTAATGTGATTCTAATAGTCGTTTGAATGAACGAGTACGATCAGTTTAGGAGCATAACACAATGCTCTGCAAGCAGTTTTTAGTTGTGAGCCACAGACGTGGTCGCCCAAACAGACAACTCCTTGCAGAACTTCGTCTGCCTCGTCTGGTTGAACTCATACCTGAGCAGATTAAACGAGGATGTTCTGAACGAATACCCGGCATGCGGAGAGTCGCCCCATGACTCACAGCATCTCTTCGTATGCCGTCAGAATCCCACCCTACTAACGCCCCTGTCAATCTGGACAAACCCCGTCGAGTCTGCATGCTTCCTGGGGGCTACCGCTAATAGAGCCTGACGACAACGATTAAGGGAATAACCGATCTGGTCGGGGTTTTTGTAGCCGCTATAACAACAACATTAGTCACTCATTCACGTCTGTCATCATACCGAAATACGAGACGAATATTACGGTCACGTCTGTTATAATCCGAAATATGTATTTTTTACGTTGCCAGTTGCTCGTTCACGGCTGTCAAGACTAGGCGCCTCATTTCCATTGGGCACTCTGAGCAAGTGCAGGGCCACCCGGTGGATGAGGCCCCTACTTTCAGCCAGATCAATATACTAACTAGAATACCTACATACATACCCACTTGCTTGCCTCAAGTGCGCAGCTCTGAGGGTATGCTCTACAAGGAACTATGTATGTATGTTAGATTAGATTAAAGACATAGACAGACGGCAACGTTGATCAGAATTAACGGCACAGTTGATCGGATCAAAATTGTTCCCTGACAAGCGGCAGTATTGCGGATTAGGCGACCAGCGAGTTCGTGTGACCATGACATCAAAAATATTGTTTACATCTTTTTTTTGCTCTTTCAATTATTTATTATTTTTATTTATTTTTTATGTAATTACAATTAAAGTCTAAAAAAAATAGATCAACGTGACATTACAACAAAACAAGATACGCGTGATAGAGGAAGAAGTTTCACCTCAGTCGCGGGTGATATGCACACCCTTTTTTTAATTATATAATAATAGATTGGCGCTTACACATATGTTAGTGTTTGGCCGAGCTTCTCCTCCGATTTGTGGCGTGCGCCTTGATGTTGTCACACAAAGTGGAGGGACCTACAGTTTCACGCCGACTCCGAACGGCGATTGTATTTTTGTGATAAGCTGTTTTTCATGGTAGAAATACACACGGAGGGTTGCCTTTGCCTGCCGAGGGGCGACCGCTGTTAAGAAAAAACCTTTTCTCTAAATTTTTTGCGATGTTACTTTGACCAGGGTTTGAACCCAGGCGTTGCGGAGTGGAAGCGCGCACTGCTTACCACTACATCACAGGTTTTTTAATAATCTTATTTTAAAAACAACATTTGTTTAACGGCTCTATTTTGTATCACTTACAAAATTCTTGTCACCGTTTTTATTACGGAAAAATATATGAACGAGTTTAAATTTGTCAGTAAAAAGTTTTTGTCACCGATACAGAATTGGGCTATAAGGAAATACATACTTGTTATACAGATTTTTACTTACCCTTCAACCCCACCAAAATATTTCATCTTTTTCACAATCCAAAAATAAATTTCTTCCAATAAATAAATTTCGAGAATATCACAGCTACGCCTTCATAATCTGCCGAAGAAAGGAAATAGACAAATTAGCATTTCAGTAAATATGTAGGAACTCAAAACATATAAACTTTTAAATACTTGGTAATTGGAACTCAATAAAAAAAACTGGATAACTCGGAGCTTTTACGAAATACAAAATTGTTTACTTCATTTTCTTCTTTGTCGAATATTTGCAATGGTTGCAAATCGTTATGTAAAAGAGTAGCAAACCAATGGACTTTGCCATAACAGCAATACATCTTTTTTTTTTGGTTACAACGGAAATAAAAACAGTAAATTATGAAAAAGTGAGTAACCGAACATGCGTTCAAGTAGTGATCAAAATAAAAATTTCGATTCGAGTCATTTCGAGAACTAAGTGCATATTGTCGTTTAAGGTATAAAACCGCGTATGGTCGTTCTAAAAACCGCGTAACTGAAATTTTTTGTCAAAAAATGGATTTGCTCACACAGGCCCTTGGCTCAAGCCTTATCCTTTCGTCCTAAAATATACTAGCCAGAAATGCGATTGCTTCATAAAAAAAACTATTTTGAAATATGAGTGTTTTTACTCTCTATAAAATAATTTATGCTACCTCACATACGCGGTTTTGCATTTTGGTGACACGCGGTTTTGTACTTTAAACGACGATATGCGCATATACAGCTACCAGCATTGAAATAGTCACGGATACAAACATTTTATATTTTTCAGGCTAAGGGTCAGTTTTTCAGTGCCAGTCTAAACTTAGATTAAGTAAACTGAGTTTAAATTGAACAGCTGGCTGACATTTGATTGGCTGATCTTAGTCTAAACCTGCCAGATCGGGCGTTTAAACTTAGTTTAAATCACGGCCGTGCACTGAAAAACTGGCCCTAAGTAAAATATCGCTACGAATAGTTAGTACTTAATGCCATGACTTAAGTCATTCAGAGATATAAATTGTTTGCCATGCACGCTGAACCACATTCATTCTTGTTTTTTTTAGCTTAACAGCTTCCTTAACATTTTCAATCGGTTTGAGGTCGGAAGACTCAGCTGGCAAGTTCATAACCTCAACTCTATTGACGCGAAATAATTCCGTTGCCAGTTTACTAGTATGATTCGGGAATTATTTTGCTGGAATGACTATTTCAGCAGCATGCACATTTCTTGTAACGTACACGGTTTATTTGTTTTGTATTTTTATAGCCTATTTCCAACAAAGGCTTAACTGCAGTTAAGAGCTCAGAGAATTTCCAATAATTTTAACATGAGTTGAGCGGCAAGGTTTTTTTCTGAAGTTTTGCTTTTTTCTTTCGTTCGCTTCTACTTACAAAATGAAATTTTCCCCTTCGAGTTGTAATCTCATTTTTCTAATAGGTATTAACTGCAATTAAGGCTTGGTGGAAATCAATTATTAGTCATAAATATATGAAAATGCATTATTATTATTTTAATAGCCCGTTACTCAAATTAAAAATATTTAGGCAAATAGAAAGTTAAGCAAATTCGCACTTTACATTTACCACTTAAGCGAACATACCGCTAGCTTAGAATGAAAAGTTGGTAAGTCCATTTTTACAAATTTTATAGGTGAGCAAAAAATCGATAACCATTTTCGCCTAGTATTTCGCAAAACTTTGAATAAAACATTTTGTGGGTGTAAAGCAAAGCAAAACTATATACCAGCCAGAATGATTCGATTTTTAACAAAAGATTTCGTATTATTTTGGCCTTATTGGATTTTCGGTGCCTGTTTTGGTCTTAGCAAATTTGCCTTTCATTGAATATAAAACAATGACCTTAATCCTTTTCGAAAATGAGCATTTTTGATAGCTTTACTTTCATGAAATGTGCACTTAGCTACTTTTTACACTTTGCTAACGATATGTTGTTATTACGAGTTCGTTAGCTTGAATAACAACAACAACATAATCGCCCTTATCGCTGTTGGTGCGTTTTTTTGTTTCTCTGTTATTTTGCTACTTCTTTCGCCAACTTGTTTTATGTGAATAGTACCAGTTGTTGGTGATTGGTTATAAACATAAATATGTATTTGTTAAGTCTTACATCTCGATGTGCATTGCCACGTCAATCACATACATATTACAGTTGTATTTCGCCAATACTAAAATATGCAAATTACTTTTAATTGAACAAATAGTAGAATTTTCTTTCACTTGCACGTATGAATGTAAGATTTACACGCTTAATATGAAAACACAAATGTAAAATGAAGTTGTAGAAAAATTCAATACCTAGTGAAGGTAGTACATAAATATGTGCCCCTTTTGCTGCTATTCGCCAATGCCAAAGCGATCAGCTGCTTAACAAAAACTTGTTTAATTTCGGCTTGACGAACACGTCTTTTCGAACCTTCCGCACGCGGCAAAGTGAGTGCACGAAATGACTGCGTCCACTGCTAAAATTTGGTCGACGAAAGCCATCACAGACACAATCAACGCGAGCAATAGAAACGCCATAATGCCTTTCACGACGCCAAACGCTCTAAAAGTATAAACAATAAAATACGAATCAACAAAAATTGCGAGTGTCCGCAATAAATTGTATCTCAGTGTGTTTAGCGCAGAGAAGGTGCTACCTGTGACAATAGCAGGAACATTAGTTACTTTGATAAGCAAATACAGTATATTTTGCTTAGCTGCACATCCTTCTTTGCACGAAAAACTTGTGCACTTAACCGAAAAAGGCACTTAAGCGAATTTTCTTTACTACTTCAATGAGGAAGGTATCCAAATCCCTATGAAACCAAATAATGGAGAAGCACTTACCACGTAGAAATTACTGCAATCGAAATTTTTACCGAATAGTATCTAATGCGTATTTTGGGGTAGGTATCTTAAATGTGCACTTAAGCATAGAGGCAGCAAAGCAAAATATACTGTACATGCATATACATTTTTGATAAAAATACGGAATTTAGTTAGGTATTTACTACTTACTACAAGATTTATAATAGCTCCACAAAATTAAATGCCTATGCATACATACATATGTAGTATGTACATTGTACATACATACATACCCAGCCAGCAGAGAAACGTACTTTTTGCCGACAGTGCAGTTTTCGTACATTTTTCGTATCCGGAAACGTTCAGAAAACGAATTCCATATTTGTTCATTTTTCGTATCCGAAAAATGTCATCGTCTTATTTAAAAACAATAATTTAAAAATATTTGTTCAAATTGAGCATTTGAAAACAGTAGCTGAGTGTGCTACTATTTGTTAGCATTCAGGAAGTCCCAGGTTCGAATTCCGTCAGAAGCAACACATTAAAATTAATTATTAAAATTGAAATAATTGCTGAATCTTAAATTTGTTTTTTATTTGATTTCCTGTAACTATGAAAAAGTTTCTGTGAAGTTCATAATGAAATCGTTTTCAACCAAAAGTTGACTCAGAAAAATTTCAGGAAAACAGCCGAAGCGCATCCGTTTTACAACCATTTTCGATAGTTTTCTGCACATACGTTTCGGATGAACACTTTAGTGGGAGAATTGATCTGAAAAACATCCGAAACGGAATCGGAAAACGGATGAAACATCAGGTTTTTATACGAAATTGTTTCCATTTTCGGATACGTTTCCGGATATTTTGCTGGCTGGGTACATATGTATAGCATGTATTTACATGTTAGCTAACTAACACTAGGGTATTAAACTCTAGGAAAAAGTAATGCGTAAATAAACTTCCAGATCAAGCCACAACCATTTCTTCTTGACTACAATGTTTTGACAATTTGTAATGTTTATTGCATAGTTATGCATAGTACGGTTATTTAAATAAAGTAGAGCGCATTCCGAGTTGCTATTAACCGACAATCTTGAATTTGGTGTAAAAATGTATGTATATTTCATAGAGCACCGGCAGGCACCTACAGAGAGAGTACACGAGTAAATTTATAACCATGTACACACTAGGGATGTTAATTTTTTGGCTTTTTACGATCCCGGGATTTTCGGGATCTCGGTATCACAATTACGGGGTTTAGATATTTCGATATACATATAAGGCCAGTATGCAGCTCTCAAGAAAACGGTCAAGAAAAATTTGCCATTATTTCGTGTGTGTGTCCAAGGAATTTTGCCATTTTTGATACTTCAAAGCCTGTTGACTCACTCCTCAAGAAATAATGAAACGGGCATATATTTCTGTTGCAAGCCTGAGTTGCCTTGCGCTATTTTTTCACAAAAAACTTTAGAAAACCGTAGTAGAAAGCGTAGCAAATTCCTTAAGAAATTTGACTCAAGAAAATTTCTCAGCCGTTTCTTGTACGTCATTTTATATGAAGTTTTTGCTTTTCTTGAGAGCTGCATACAAGACTTTAGATCATTACTTAACAACAACTTAAATCGCAAAAATTGCTCCAGTATTGTTTGAGAAGCTCTCCTACCGTAAAATAAATAATAAAAGTATGGGTTTGAAACCTACTTTTTTATTTTAAGTGAAAATTATTTCATAAGTAACAAAACAAAAAACAGTAATAAAATGTATACGCATCTAATAATACCTTAGCGTATACATAGCTGATAAAGTAACTTAAGGTATGTATGTTGAAAAAAGCTCTATGCAAAAGAATTGAAGTCAACAAATGTATTTTGTGGTTGAAAGAATTTCATATATACATACTAGTGGTAGAAATAAAAGAAACGCCTTATTTCGACCAGCATTGTTTATTTTTCTCTTCTTTATTTAATTAAAATTTTTCTATAAATATCTACCTCATTAGACATAAAACACCGTGCGATAGTAAATTTCACACACAAAAATCAATATATTCGCGAAACCATGGGCTAAATATACTAAAATTTGCGTTTTTTAGTTTTTCTCTCTAACGTAAGGATTTATTTTAAAGGACTTTGTAATTTCAAAGGTGTGATTAATTCCAGAAATTATTTAAATAATTCAGTGCAATGTATAATAAAAATATATATATATATATAAAAATGAAAGAGGAAATTTCTTTAGAATTTAGAAAAATTTAACTTTTTTTGCATTCACAAGGACGAATAGGTATTTTTTTAAGCTGATAAAGTTAAAAGGACGAAATTCGAGAATGTTATCGAGTTTGTATAAGTCCTTAACATATAATTTTTTCAAAACCAAATATTGCGATATTTTAAGGATACAATTTTAAAGAATTTTTCAATACTTACCCGTCCTTATGCACCAAGTGAAGTGATTGAAAGTCATTTTTACATATGTGCTGATCTATGAGTACCTTTCTTAACTGAGATGACTAACTTTTGCAATTTTTCGAAACAGTTAAAGAAATTTTAACGTACAAGGTAATATCATCGTACAAGGCACAGCAAACAGGTATTAGAGCATAAACAAAATTTATGTGTATTTTGTTGTTGCTTGTCTTATCTAAAGCAAAGAACGTATGTATATGAATACTCATATACCTTCTCTGTCTAAAGTGTCTGTTCTGATTTTGAGTAAAAATTAAAAATTAGCTTAGCAAAAGATTGGTGCGACTTTTTTTCTTAGTAAATTTTGTTTGCCCAGTAATCAGTGCTTGTGCTGCGGAGTTAGGTAAACGTCCCAAACGTTGCTTTTGAATCACTTGTTTTGTATAGGAAAAGGTTTAATCACATGCAAAAAGATTTTTACAATTTATCCCCCTTATTCTAGAACCCGAATTTTCGTAATTTGTAATTCGTAGCTACGCTACGAAAAACGAAAAATCCACATGCTGCAACCCTTGCGGAAACATGTGCAGCATTTCCAGCTACCAATAAAATTGTAAAATTGGTTAAATTTACATATTTTGAGGAAAATTATTGATTCTGATGTAGGCATTTGCAATTATAGCAGCAGATTAAGCGGGCGCTATGGCAATGGATTCACAAATCTGGCATAGCAACCATGGGCGCATCTATGTCAGCTTCTGGCTGAAATGTTGAACCACAAGCCAGAACTCCTCCTTTGCCTGAAGCTCTGGTTCTCAATCCAGTTAATGCAATAACAGCTTCTTCCAAGCCATTGAAAACATGCACTTTTTATGTCCACCACCTGTTGCGCTTGCTTCTGCCTTCGACCGCGCCTAGGGATTATAACCTTACTAAGTAGAATTCTCTTTTCTGTGTTGCGGGGAAGAGGGGCTTCCTCATGTCAAAGGTATACAATAGGTCGAAATAGCATAGTGCAAACCGAGTTTTTTTTAATAAGCTAGTGGTAGGAAATTTGAAACATTTATCTTAAATAAAATGTGAATGCTTTGATTACACGTGTATGTTAAAGTTTTTGGATTCGGGTTATGCGTTTGGACACAACAACCGAAAATCGTTGTACATTAACTAAACCGGACCCAAGTTTCTCGATTAGGGGCAACAAATATTATTTTTTGCTAGTTTATATAAAGCAGTGGATAAAAATATAAGTATATGCGAAAGGCAAATTTTCTGTTTAAATGAACACCACCAACATTTCTTGCAAACACACATCGATTTACATCTTTTATTTCGCCTTCGACACGAATTGTTTTCGAACAAAATTAAGCAAATACGATTCGGATTGCAGCATACTATTTCTACGATTCGTAGCAAAATCCGAATACGAAAGAGTTGCAGAATAGGGGTGTGTATTTTTTGTGAGAAGAAATTAAACATATTTGACATTTTAGATAACGAATAATTAAAAAATAGTAAATAAAAATCAAATAAGTTGCTCTACTGATACTATCTATTCAATGTACCTTGGGTAGTACAACACATTGCAAAGAAGTACATTGGACTGTACTTCGAAGAACGAAGTACAACGGCTCAAAAAAAGTACTTTACTTCCGAAAGAAGTACGGTTGGTTACATTCATAGTCAAGGCGCACGCCACAAGTCGGAGGAGAAGCTCGGCCAAACACTAACATATGTGTAAGCGCCAATCTATTATTATTATTATTTAGTTCACAACTAAGTCGAAACTATCCTAAGTTACAACTAAGCTATTCATAGTCACTTTGTTTTACCTTCATAGTCACTTTGTTTTATCCTCACCCACGGGCGCCGCAAGTATTTGCAAAGTAAACAGTTCTGGATTGTTGCCGACGTAATTTGTTCTCTTTCATTATTACACCCGCGTTTATTATACACTTGTTTATCAGCAAATGGAATAAATATCTTATTATCACTTATTATTTATGAATTCACTCATTTTACTAAGTGCTGTTCAGCAACGAATTTTAACACTTTAATAAAAAGGAAATTAACTTCAAATGCTTGTTGTATCGACGGAAGTGCAGGGAGCCACAGGGTGACACAAGTATCGAGCATATTTTGAAATTATCGATAGCAACGAATATTAAATAATCGTATTGTGGCGAATACTGCGGCAACACAAAGCGAACAACGAGAAATAGGCA